GGAGTTTCCCTGGGGTGTGGCCTGCACCGCCTTTCATCTTATAAGAGATAAAAGGAAAGGGAAGCGAGCAGAGAGAGGGGACCTCAATACCACCAAGAAAGCAGTGCAAGGAGCAGAGTGTGTCCTTTGGACCCAGGGTTCCTGAGCTGAGAAGCTCCTAGTCCAGGGGAAGATTGATGAGAAGGCCAACAGAGACAGAAGGTCTTTCCCTGGAGCTGACACCCCGAATTTGGACTTTTAGCCTACTTTACCGTAAGGAAATAAATGTTTCTTTGTCAAAGCCATCCACTTGTGGTAGTTCTGTTAGAGCAGCACTAGATAACTAAGACAATAACTTTGAAAAATATAAAGCAAAAACTGTTTGAAATAATGAGAAATGGACAGAACTACAATCATATTGAGATACCTTAATGTGGCTCTCTGAGTACATAAAATATAATTCAATATGGAGAAATTGCATAATATGATTAACCACTTTGATCATATATATAGATAGATAATTTTGGATTCAACAAATAGAAAATTTCATATTGGGTCTCAGTGAAAATGTCAACAGATCTTAAAAAGTAGAATTGGTAACAGGCCATTTCTCTGATTTCAGTGAAGTAAAGTTTGTCATTAACACAGAATGTAGCAGAAAATAAAACATTGGTACTTGGCAAATTTTAAAACATTCCTTGAAATAATTCTTGGGGAATTATTGGCATGGAATTGTAATGAGATGATTTTTGTTGTTGTTGTTGAGACTGTACATAGCAAAACATACACCAATTCAGCAGTTGTTATATGTACAATTCAGTAACATTGATTATACTCTTCGAGTTGTGCAACCACTCTCACCCTCCTTTTCAGAGTTGTTCACTGCCCGCTAAGTTTCCTATCTGGTCTTTCGAGTTGCTCTTGTCAGTTTGATCCCATACAGATAGATCTTGAAAGAGCACAATGCTCAAGGCAGACATTATTTACTAGTTAAGCTAAACTGTTGTTTGGTTTTAAGAAGACTTTAGGGGATATTTTGGTTTAAGGTTTAAAAATTATCTCAGGGCAATAATTTCAGGGTTTCATCCAGCTTCCATGGCTCCAGAAAGTTTGGAGTCCATGGGAATTTGAAATTTGGTTTTGCATATTCCCTCTTTTGATCAGGATCCTTCTATAGAATCTTTGATCAAAATGTTCAGTAATGGTAGCCAGACACCATCCGGTTCTTCTATCTCATGGCAAAGCAGGCAGTTGTTCAGGGAGGCAATTAGCCATGCATTCTGTATCTTCCTCCTATTCCTGACTTTTCTCCTTTCTCTGTTGCTCCAGGGATGAGATGATTTCTATTATGCCTCCTGGCTCTAAAATACTATCATTTTAGATAATTCTTCATGGTATTTCTTCCAGCAGTACCTTACACTAAATAATTGCTTTTTGTTAAAGAAAACAAAAAATACTGTTTGTTTGTTTTTTTAATGAGACATTTATAATATCTGAAAAAAAATACCCATTTTTTCTGTTACTGCTCATGCGTTCAGTGTCAGTTTAAGAACCCATTGTCAAATCCGAGGTCATGAAGATTTATCCTTATGTTTTCCTTCTAACAGTTTTATAGTTTTAACTCTTACATTTAGCTGTTTGATCTATTTTGAGTTAATTTTTCTATATGGTGTGAGTTAAGGGTCCAACTTCATTCTTTTCCTTATGACTATCCACTTGTCCAGCACCATTTGTTTAAAAGATTGTTCTTTACCCATTGAATGGTCTTAGCAAAAATCACTTGACTATAGGCATATGGTTTGCTTTTGTATTCTACATTCTGTTCTGTTGATCTCTATGTCTATCCCTCTGCCAGTATCTTGTTTACTGTTGTTTTTTAGTAGTAAGTTGGAGATCAGAAAACGTGAGCTCCCCAACTTTGTTCTTCTCCAGGATTGTTTTAGCTATTCTGGGTCCCTTGCAAATCCATACGAATTTTAGAATTAGCTTGTCGCTACCTACAAAGAAGCCAGCTGGGATTCTAATAGGGGTTGCATCGAATCTTTAGATCAGTTTAGGAAGTATTACCCTCTTAACAAGAGTAAATCTTCCAGTCCGTGAACATAGAATTTTTTTTTCCTTTATTTAGATCTTCTTTAATTTCTTTCAATGTTTTATAATTTTCAGATTAAACTTTGCACTTCCTTTGTTAAATTTATTCCTAAGTATTCTTTTTGATGCTATCATGAATGGAATTGTTTTCTTAATTTTATTTTTAGTTTTTCATTACTATCTAATATAGATTACTATTTAATATACTCTATTATTTTTGCATATTGATATTGTATCTTGCAACCTTGCTGAACTCATTTATTTTAATAGTTTTTTAATGGATTCTTTAGGATTTTCTATATACAAAATTTTGTCATCTGCAAATAAAGATAGTTATACTTATTCCTTTCCAGTCTGGATGCCTTTTATTTCTTTTTCTTGCCTAATTGCCCTAGCTAGAATCTCTAGTGCAATATTGAATAGAAGTGTAGAGGATGGACATTCTTATCTTGTTCCTGACTTAGGGGAAAAGTCAGGAACACCATTAACTTTCGTCATTAATGATGTTAGCTGTGGAGTTTTTCTAGATGCCCTTTATCAGGATGAGGAAGTTATCTTCTAGTTTGTTCCTTTTTTCCCAGTGTCTTAAAGGTGGAAAATTAGGTTACTGATTTGAGATTTTTTTCCTTTTTAATTTAGGCATCTACAGCTATAAATTTCCCTCTGATCACTGCTTTGGCAGCATCCCATAAGTTTTTGTATACCATGTTTTGATTTTCATTCATCTCAAAGTATTTTCTAATTTTCCTTTTGATTTCTTCTATGACCATTAGTTTTGCTTTTTTTATTGTGCTTTAAGTGAAAGTTTACGGTTCAAGTCAGTTTCTCATACAAAAATTTATACACACATTGCTATGTGACCCTAGCTGCTCTCCCTGTAATGTGGCAGCACACTCCTCCTTTCCACCCTGGATTTCCCATGTCCATTCAACCTGCCCCTGCCCCTTTTTGCCTTCTCCTCTCACCTCTGGACAGAAGCTGCCCATTTAGTCTCATGTATCTACTTGAGCTAAGAAGCACTGTCTTCACAAGTATCATTTTATGTGCCATAGTCCAGTCTAATCTTTGTCTGAAGAGTTGGCTTTAGGAATGGTTTCAATTCTGAGCTAACAGAGAGTCTGGGGGCCATGTCTTCTGGGGTCCCTCTATGACCATTGGTTATTTATGAGTATTTTGTTTAATTTATACATATTTGTGAGTTTTCAAAGTTTTTTTCTGTTATTGATTTCTAATTGCATTCATTTGTGGTCAGACACCATACTGTATATTGTTTTCTGTCCTTTTAAATTTATTGAGGTTTGTTTTATGGCATACTGTATCATCTGTACTAGAGAATGTTCTATGTGCACTCAAGAGGAATATATATTCTGCTGTTGCTGTGTGGAGTGTTCTATAGATGTCTCTTAATTCTAGTTGGTTTATAGTGTTGTTCAAGTTCTTTGATTTTCTTGCTGATCTTCTAATTATTCTATCCATCATTGAAAGTGGGGTGTTGAAGTCTCCAGCTATTATTATTGGATTGTTTATTCTCCCTTCATTTCTCTCAGCTTTTTTTTCATGTATTTTGGTGCTCTGTTGTTAGGTGCATACATGTTTATGATTGTAATATCTTCCTGATGATTTACCTTTTTGTCAATGTCAAATGTCCCTCTTTGTTTCTGATAACATTTTGTTTTGTTTTAAAGTCTATTTCATCTGACATTAGTATAGCCTCTCCAGCTTTCTTAACAGCTCTCTTCTGGTATATATCTTTCCGTCTTTTCACTTTCAATCTGTTTGAATATTTGAATCTACAGTGTATCCCCTGTAAATAGCATATAGTCAGATCTTGTTTTCTTAATCCAGTCTGGCAGTCTCTGCCTTTTGATTGGATTCTTTAATCCACTGACATTTAATGTTGTTATTGATGTAGCTGAATTTACGTCTCCCCTTTTTCTTTTGTTTCCTGTGTATCTTGTTTCTTTTTTGTTCCTCTATTTGTCCTTTACTGTTTTGTTTTATATTAAGTATTTTCAAGTGTAGTATTTTGATTTCTTTAATTTTATTATTATGATTAGTTATTTCCTTAATTGTTGCTCTAAGGCTTGCTGTGTACATCTTAGCTTATCAGAATTAACTTCAGATTAGTACATACTTAATTCCATTGAGATATAGAAATGTTACTCCTGTATAGTTATACTCCCTCTTCCCCCTATAAATTATTTTTTTTAATTTAGGGAAAAAAGAAAAACTTAAATTTTTTTCATTTGCCTATTCCATTTCTGAGATACATGATTCTACTTTGTTCTCTACCCTTAAATGTCTATAAAAATTTTCTGGAATATCCTCTTAATTTCCTCTTTTGCTTGAGCTAGCATAAATGGATCTCGATTTCTCCTGAGTGTTGGGTATCTATTTGCAATGACTCAAGTCAAAAAGAGAAGTCTTTAATCATCCAAAATAAGATTTGCTAATGGATGTATAATATTCTAATATGTACCATAATTTAATTACATCCCTTCTATTTTTAAAAACAGTTCTCTAAGTATAAATGATCTTCACACTTACTTGGTTCTGCATTTTTTAGGTTTCCTTCATTGTAATTGCATTAATTTTACGTTCATAAAAATAGTTTTTAAAATGAGAATACTAAATGCTATTTTTATAGGTTTATTTTTCCCATTCTTTTATCACGGGTGACAAACACATACCACCAGGTTTCTCTTTCTCCTCTTTGGGTACCTGACAGTCATCACTTACAGATCACACACAGCACACTTGTTTCAGGCAGCTATTACCAATAATCAGAGTTAGTACTGCCGGTGTCAGATTACTGTGCTCATTATAATAGAGGTATACTCATTTTAAAATTAATTTTCTGCAGTAAAATTTTTAAAGGTATATCAAGTATTTGGGAGTGAATTATCTGAGCATTTTATTTGTTTGATCAGATTGTCAGATGCTGAACACTGGTAGTGATTTGAAAGAAAGTACCCAAAGTGATTCAGTGCTGCTGACATGTGGAAAGTGTGATCTGAAGAAACACCACAGTGTCACTCAAGCCCCTCAGACGAGTCCGGACGTCTCTTGCCCTTCTCAGGACTTTACTAGGGAACAGGTAATGGGAAAACAAGTTCAGTCTTACTCAGTTTTAGCAATTAAAATAATTATTAAGATACAAAATAGTTAAAGTCTTACTCACTCACTTATTTAAATAATGCTTATTGAGCACCTGTTATTTGCCCAGGAATGGTGCTAGATGCTATAAGTACTGTGTTGAGCAAGATAGGGACATTCCCAGCCTTCATAGAGGATGTATCTGTTGGGAAAATAGAGGATTAAATGTGGTGATGCTGTGACAGGAGGAGAGCAGGAGGGTCTAACCCAGTGTCTGGAAAATAAGGAGGCTTCCTATACGATATATTCATTTTGAAGTCTTATTTTTAAATATTGTAATATTTCAGAACATTTGGGAAAATATTTCAAAAGAAAGAGAGCAACTTTAGTGCCTTCTAAGTGCACAGTGGTTAAAGCGCTTGGCTCCTAACCAAAAGGTCGGTGGTTCGAACCCAGCAGCTGCTCGATGGGAGAAAGATGTGGCAGTCTGCCTCCATAAAGATTACAGCCTTGGGAACCCAATGGGGCAGTTCTACTCTGTCCTGTAGGTCGCTATAAGTCAGAATCGACATGACGGCAATGAGTTTAACCTCTTGTAGTGCTGTTAATATTTTTGTGTACTTTCCTCCCAGGCTCTTTTCCATTTTTTTTTTTTTTTTAAACAATTATAACTTAGTGTTTATGCTTTTTTTTTTTTTTTTTTTTTTTACTTAACATTGTTTAACAGATATTTTTCCATAATGCTACAATTTCTTCATAGTTATTTTTTATGGCCGAGTAGTATGGATATGGATGTACTGACATCTCTCAATCCTTCTCTTTACATTTGTTGACATTTAAGTTGCTTCTGATTTTTTGCCATTATACATAAAGATGTTCAACAGTTTTACTTCCTTATGATGGAACCACAGAGTGCATTCATTCATTCATCTGTTCAGCAAGGATTAAGTTGGTGCCAATTCTGAGGTAGGGTTACAGAGTTAAACAGTATACCATCCCTATCGGTTGGGGAGCTGTCTAATGGGAAGAGCAGAAGAGTGCAATTGGTGATTTCAACATACTGTGTCAAGTGCTGTAATAGAAATTGGAGAAGTATAGGGAAATACCTAACTTGCTCTGTAGGGCAGGAATTCTTAAGCTGGCACTAAAAGTAGCCTGAGACCTCTTGGAAATTGAACACAAGTATTTTAATGTATCTGTAATTGCATTTTTTAGAGGAGAAAGTCCTTAGGTTTTATCATGTCGTCACCTAAAGATTACAGCTGAGGGTACTGGGGAATCGTTCTGAGAGAATAAAATACTTGAACTGAGTCTTAAAGGATGGGTGGGAAACACCTATTGGCCATCCAGATGAAAACGTCTAAGGGGATATTAAGAATGTGAGTCTGGAGCTCAGGAGAAAGGTTTGTGCTGAATCAGGCTATATAATACAGTTGGAGCCATAGACTAGATGAGATCACCCCAGAGAGTGACAAGAGAAGACGACCAATTATGGAGTCTAATAGAATATCAGAATTTTAATGTGTTTAGATAAAGTGGAGCCAACTGAGGAAAAGATGAAGAGACTATAAGCAGAGCAGGTAAAACATGAAAGAGCCGTGGCATAAAAGCCAAAGAAGAGAGCCTCAGGAAGGAGAGGCAAAGTCAGCAATGTCTAAAGCCACAAAGACGTCTAGGGACATTAAAATTAGATAAAGTAACTACTAGATTTTGAAATTAGGAGCTAATTATTGTTTTGAATTGCTGGATCAAAGCTTATGAACATTTTTGTGGTCATATGTATTTCCATGTAGCTTCCAAAAGCAATTTTCAGTTTAATTGCACCCTTCTCAGACTGGGTATTTTTATTATCCTAAGCGTCATACTTTTGGATACTATATAAGTAAGTAGTCTATAAATAGTTTCTGAAAATGATTAAATTCTCTTATTTTTCAAATTTCTTATTTCAGCTCATGGAGGAGAATGAATTTCTTAAACAGGAACTGGCTAAAGCTAAAATGGCTCTTGCAGAGGCTCACATGGAAAAAGATGCTCTTCTTCACCATATAAAGAAGATGACAGTTGAATAGCAGGAATGGCAATCAAGAACTCCAATTATATAGCTCTGGAGTAGAAGATTATATTTGTAACACGGGTATTACCAAATAATGGAAGACTTTCCTTTTCGTGAAAAGAACAATAAAATGAAATGGAATGTGGTAAAGTGGTGACTATTTCAAACCCAGTTTAGAAAGTATTAGGTACAAGCATTACAATCTTTTGATTGTTGTGTTTTTTAGGGTTTAACCCTGTTTTAAACTGGTGTGACCTGGGAAGTCAATGCATACTGTAAAGTGATTACATGCTTAATGAAAACAAGTTGTCATTTCCTAATTTTGACAGCACTATAGGCATTTTTTAAAAAGAGAAATGAAAACTATTGTGTTCACACTGATTGCTGAATTTATTTCTCACTATTTGTTTATGTTACTATTATTTACAAAGATTCAAATGCTTTTAGAGCTAATGTAAAATAAAAGGAGGATTACATGTTAAATCTTATTAAAATAATGTACTTAAATCTATATTTAATTACTGTAAAAAGACCAATCAAATTAATAAATTATATAATTACTGAGTTTGCACATCGGGAAAATCATCACCCTACTGAATTTATGAAGTAACTTGAAAATGTGAAAAAAAAAAAAATCATTTTAAATGGTGGGTAAACTATATAAGTTGAAGCTATAATTTTCAACATAAAAATGATACAAATGTGAAAATAAAAAGCACAAACTAAAAAAGTAAAATATTAGAGTATATGGCCAAGTGATTTAAAGTGTATTACTTATACATTCCTTTCAACATTTACTGTTAGACATAAAAGAGTAATTTAACTATCCTGCTAAATTTGGCAGCATTTGTAACTATATAAATTTTAATTAGTACTATTTATATTATTTCTTTACCTTCATCTTTCCTCAAAGAGGGGAATGTTTTCCGAGAATTTTCTTTTCACACACATAAAACAATTTCATACCATTCTTGTAGTGTCAAATTAGGTGGGTGTTTGCACATACTGATATAAAGCTAGCTTTGATTAATGCTCTATGTGACGTATGTACAATCTTCTATAATAGGAATAATTGGTAAAATTTGAGTTCTATTTTCTAGGAATTGTTAAAGTTGGAAATAACATGAGAGAATCTCAGTCATGTATTATGAAATAAAAGTACATAAGTGTTAAAGAAATAGGCTTTTAAAGATTTAAAATATATTTCTGATAGATTTAAACTAAGTGGGATCTATTTTAAAATTCACATTCTTAAACATTAATATATCCAAGATAGAACATGAAACAGCTGGATTATCATTTCGTTAAGATACTTGAAAATTCTAAACTCACTGAGACACTTTATGGTGCTTTGCTTGTTTGGCATGACTTATAATAGGCATTCCTCTATCTCAGTACTTGGGGAAAAATACATATTTCATTTACCTTAAGTGTTGGAGTCATTTTAATTTTATTTAAAACAATACTGGCCTTTTTTTCCTTATTCTATTATATCCATTTTCATTGACATTATTTAGAAAAACAGGTACTTTTTTGGGAGCTGATGATACAGCAAAGAACAAATTAAATTGTTATTTTACCTCAGAGTATTTTTTAAAAAATGTTAAATCATGTCCATCTAGAACTATATAATAGCCTTAGTTTAAATGCAAAAGTCTAATGAAAGATTAATAATGTATAGCTTATGTCCTTCATAGAGTACCTTTGACTTGTATATATATATTCAACAAATCCAGTCTCTATTATGGAAAAGCAGGATTGAAGGTACATTAACTTCTTCAAACTGACAGTGTTTCTTGGGATTGACCTATTTGTTTTATATATATTTCAGTTTTATCTGTGGTTTATTATAATTGTTTATTGTTACAGAAAATGAATGTTTTCTTTATCCCTTTTAAATATATTTGGCCTTCCCAAGAAAATCATATAAACAGTAGAGATGATGAGTAATATGGATCTGAGTATTCTATACGCTTTGCTGGATTTTTTTTTTTTTTTATTTATTTATAAGGAGTACTATTTTTATAGAGATTTAAAATCCTAAAGCATTTCCAAAAACATCATCTCATTATAATTTCCATAACAAATCTAGGAGGTAGGTATTAAGCACATTTTAGAAGTTAAAACAAATACCCTTTGACTCAGAAAAGACAAGTGACTTGACTAAAATCACAATTAGTAACCTGGTCTTTGACTTAAAACCTAGTTATAACCAATTATTTTAGCTTAGTCATAACTTACAGATTTTTTGTTTTTTGGACAGGATTCATGTAATGTCTTTTATTTGTTCTTTTAAAGGTTAATTTAATAGTATGTGTGGATGATGTGTGTCTTTGTGTGTGTATTATTCAAGTGCTTAAAAAATGTGGGGACAGTTTTTGCTTAAGTTGATCCAAAATTTTAGCAATATAAGAAATACAGGAATAAACCTGTATTAAACTTATCAGGGTTTTTTAAATGGCTATAAATTAGAAATAAAGTTATCACATCTTGAAATTTTCTTTGCTAAATCTCTGACAGAAGATGTTAATGATCAGGGAGAAATGGTAATCATGTTTTGTGTTTTAATTTCATGTGTTGCCAAAAAAATGGTTTTGGTATCTCCTGTTTTTTTTTTGTTTTGTTTTCTCATCCTAGCCTAGAAGTTCAAAAGACCACCATGTGCCACTAGTTGTGATGAGACACTATTTTTATTGAAGCCATGTAAGAATGGTTATGCATGACTACAGGCAAATATATATGGAAAAATTAACCAGAAACTCCTTTCTGGGTTTTTATTATTGTTGCTGTTATTCAATGTTTGTCAATACAAGTGTTCTAAGGTCGTCTTTAATAAGTTTTTATTAACCTCCAGTCTAATCAACACATCTTCTTATCTCAGTGAATTCACCCAGGCTTCCAAACTAGTAACATAGAATTCCATCTTAGACACCTTCCTCTTCCTCACCTTCTCCCCATAACCAGTTCATTACCAAGTCCTGTGATTTTACCTTCTAAACATCTCTCAAATTTCTCCTTCTCACTACCTGTCTAAGCTGCCATCAACATCTTTTGCCTGCATTACTGCAGTTGCCTACTAAATGGTCTTTCTGCAGCTCCTCTGGCCCTCCTTGGATTTTTCTGTACTGCAGGCAGAATAATCTTTTTCAAAGTGTAACTGTAATCAAGTTGACCACCTACCCCGACTCTCACCTTTACCTAAAACGCTTCAGTGAATTTTCATTGCTTTTATAATGAAAACAAAAATATTTTATGTAACCTATGAGGTCACATATGTTAGGGTCATTATCTACTTCATATAGTAGTTCTGAACATTAAATGAGAGTTCATGTCTCAAAAGATTAACACAGTGGTTGGTATATCACCTATAAAACACCCAGTAGAGGTTAGCTATTATTATTACCACTTAGCTTCATTTTGGACCATGTTTTACTTACTTTGTGTTTTACCTTCATTGTCTTTCCGGTATCAGGAATAAGTGAGGACTAAAGTGTTCCATGCTTCTTCCACCATAGGACCTTTGTTCATGGTATTCCTTTGGCTTGAAATACTTTTCCCTCCTTGTTGCCTAGTTAATTCCTATTTGTCTTTTACATCTCAGCTCATTCATTACTCCCTCAAGGAAGTGTTCCCAAACTTCTTTGACAGAGTTAAGACCCCCTATTATGCATTCTCACATGACCACACACCACTTCTTAGCATTTAGCACCATTGTAATTTTATATGTATTTGTTTGATTAATGGCAGACTCACTAGATTGTAAACTCCATGAGGACAGGAACTGTGTCTCTTTTGTTGTCATTGTTCAGTTTTGTATTCCCTATGCCTAATACAGTGCCTGGCACATAGGAGGTGCTCAATAAATTTGTTGAAAGAATAAAATGAATGGATGAGATACCAAGGATGTTTCTCAGGTATTGAATGGTGGGGTGGGGAGATTAGAATGCTCTTCTCAGCTGGATCAAATTATTTGAGTCTATAGTGGAAAAAAATGTAGCGAGTGGGGAGATTTGACATAACTGTGTTTTTCAGAATTTTGAATGAGCTTCTAGTTGATTTGTCACAATCACAAGATAAAAAATTAATACATCACTTCATGGTACTGCTACAGTCCCAGAATGTCATCTGGCTTTGACTGTAACATATGGTGTTGTGGCTGTCAAGATCTGCCAGTCTTATCTGCTAAACAGAATGGAAATAAGACCAAAAGAGTAGCAGCTGAAATAGCTTCTTTTTGGAAATTGACTGATACTCAGGATAATTTTCAGTTGTGCCTAATTCCTTAAAGTGCAAACAATCGCATTTTAGCTTGCACCTAGAGGTGCTATGGAAATTATTTTTTTAACTATGTTTCAGTTTCTTCTAGACTGTAAAATACCAAAATTTGGAATTACACAGGATAGAGAAACACTAAAACAACGATAAAACCCCAGTTGCCATCAAGTCAATTCCAACTCATAGTGACCCCATGTGTTTCAGACTAGGACTGCACTCTATAGGGTTTTTAAGTCTGTGACCTTTCAGAAGCAGATTGCCAGGTCTTTCTTCTGAGGAGCCTCTGGGTGGGTTCAAACTGCCAACCTTTCAGTTAGTTGTCAAGCACTTAACCATTTATGTCACCCAGGGACTCCCAAAGAAGTAGTGATGTTGAAAAAATATTGATGTTTTCATTAAATTATAATACTTGATAAATTATTTCTTGGTGTCTGGGGTACAGAATTTAAGATGTCATGAAGCAAAAATGTTGAGCATAGTGGTTTTTATAAACAATTAGATACTAGCTAGTGGAAGGACATTCATGTTAGTATTAGAATCTTGAAAATCTGTGTAGTCTTAACAGGTTTGAGGATATGAAACTTTTTTAGAGAAAAATTGTAAATATTAAATTATCTTTGATTTGTAAAATGAAATGGAACACATAAACATCGATATCCTGGGCATTAGTGAACTGAAATGGATGGGTATTGGCCATTTTGAATCGGACAATCATATGGTCTACTACGCCAGGAATGACAACTTGAAGAGGAATGATGTTGCGTTCATCATCAAAAAGAATATTTCGAGATCTATCCTGAAGTACAGCGCTGTCAATGACAGGATAATACCCATACACCTACAAGGAAGACCAGTTAATATGACTATTACTAAAATTTCGGGACCTTCATTTTCTGAAATGGCATGACTCGAAGTGAGAAGAAATAGCTGCAAACATCCATTAATAATTGGAACGTAGAATGTATGAAGTGTGATTCTAGGAAAGTTGGAAGTTGTCAAAAATGGAATGCTTGAAGATCGATATTCTAAGCATTAGTGAGATGAAATGCACTGGTATTCGTAATTTTGAATCGGACAATCATGTAGTCTACTATGCCGGGAATGACAAATTTAAATTGAATGGTGTCACATTCATTGTCAAAAAAGAACATTTCAAGATCTATCCTGAAATACAAGGCTTTCAGTGATAGGATAACATCCAGGCACCTAAAAGGAAGACCAGTTAATACAATTATTATTCAACTTTACGCACCAAACACTAATGCCAAAGATGAAGAAATTGAAGATTTTTACCAACTTCTGCAGTCTAAAATTGATCAAATGTGCAATCAGGATGTATTGATAATTACTGGTGATTGGAATGCAAAAGTTGGAAACGAGAAGGATCAGTAGTTGGAAAATACGGCCTTGGTGATAGAAACAATGCTGGAGATTGTATGATAGGATTTTGCAAGACCAACAACTTCTTCATTGCAAATACCTTTTTTCAACAGCATAAACAACGACTATACATGTGGACTTCACCAGATAGAATACACAAGAATGAAATCAACTATATCTGTGGAAAGAGACTATGGAAAAGCTAAACATCATTAGTCAGAAGAAGGCCAGGGGCCGACTGTGGAACAGACCATCAATTGCTCATATGCAAGTTCAAGGTGAAGTTGATGAAAATCAGAAAAAGTCCATGACAGCCACAGTACAATGTTGAGTATATCCCACCTGAATTTAGAAACCATCTCAAGATAGATACGACACATTTAACGCTAATGACTGAAGACCAGAAGAGTTGTGGAATGACATCAAGGACATCATACATGAAGAAAATAAGAGTCATTAAAAAGACAGGAAAGAAAGAAAAGACCAAAATGGATGTCAGAAGAGACTGTGAAAATTGCGGTTGAACGTAGCGTAGCTAAGACGAAAGGAAGAAATAATGAAGAGTTGAACAGAAGATTTCAAAGGGCAGCTCGAGAAGACAAAGTAAAGTATTATAATAACGTGCAAAGACCTGGAGATAGAAAACCAAAAGGGAAGAATATGCTCAGCATTTCTCAAGCTGAAAGAACTGAAGAAAAAATTGAAGCCTTGAGTTGCAATATTAAAGGATTCCACGGGGAAAATATTAACCAACACAGGAAGCATCAAAAAAAGATGGAAGGAATACACAGTCACTATACCAAAAAGAATTGGTTGAAGTTCAACCATTCCAGGAGTAGCATATAATCAGGAATTGGTGGTACTGAAGGAAGAGGTCCAAGCTGCACTGAAGGCATCAGTGAAAAACTAAGGCTCCAGGAAATGACAGAATACCAATTGAGATGTTTCAACAAACAGATGCAGTGCTGGAAGTGCTCGCTCGTTTATGCCAAGAAGTTTGGAAGACAGCTACCTGGCCAACCAACTGGAAGGGAGCCATATTTATGCCTATGCCAAAGAAAGGTGATCCAAGCGAATGCAGAAGTTATCAAACAATATCATTAATATCACACGCAAATAAAATTTTGCTGAAGATCATTCAAAAGCAGCTGCAGCAGTGCATCAACAGGGAACTGCCAGAAATTCAAGCTGGATTCAGAAGACAATGTGGAACTAGGGATATCACTGCTGATGTCAGATGGATCCTGGCTGAAAGCAGAGAATACCAGAAAGATGTTTACCTGTGTTTTATTGACTATGCAAAGGCATTCGACTGTGTGGATCATAACAAATTATGGATAACACTGTGAAGAATGGGAATTCCAGAACACTTAATTGTGCTGATGAAGAACCTGTACATAGATCAAGAGGCAGTCATTCAAACAGAACAAGGGGATACTGTGTGGTTTAAAGTCAGGAAAGGTGTGCATCAGGGTTGTATCCCTTCACCATACTTATTCAATCTGTATGGTGAGCAAATAATCTGAGAAGCTGGACTATATGAAGAAGAATGGGGCCTCAGGATTGGACGAAGACTCGTTAACAACCTGCAATATGCAGATGACACAATCTTGCTTGCTGAAAGTGAAGAAGACTCAGAGCACTTAACTGATGAAGATCTTCAGTATGCATTACACCTCAACATAAAAATCCTCACAATTGGACAAATAAGCAGCATCATGATAAACAGGGAAAAGATTGAAATTGTCGAGGATTTCATTTTACTTGGATTCACAATCAACACCAATGGAAGCAGCAGTCAAGAAGTCAAAAGACGCATTGCATTAGGCAAATCTGCTGCCAAGGACCTCTTTAAAGTGTTAAAAAGCAAAGATGTCACCTTGAAGACTAAGGTGTGCCTAACCCAAGCCATGGTGTTTTCAATCGCCTCATATGTGTGAAAGCTGGACAATGAATAAGGAAGACTGAAGAATTGATGATGCCTTTGAACTGTGGTGTTGGTGACAATATTGAACATACCATGGACTGCCAGAAGAATGAACAAATCTGTCTTGGAAAAAATACAGCCAGAATGCCCCTTAGAAGCAAGGATGGTGAGACTGCGTCTCACATACTTTGGACATGTTATCAGGAGGGATCAGTCCCTGGAGAAGGACATTATCCCTGGTAAAGTGGAGGGTCAGCAAAAAAGAGGAAGACCCTCAGTGAGATGGATTGACACAGTGGCTGCAACAATGAGCTCAAGCATAACAATTGTGAGGATGGCGCAGGTCTGGGCAGTGTTTTGTTCTGTTGTACATAGGGTCTCTATGAGTCGGAACCGATTGGATGGCACCTAACAACAACAACCACAACATTTGTATTTATTATAAAACACATACAACAATTTTTTGGTCCTAGAAGCACTTTGTGTCATTAATCAAAAGTCAATTCATTATTCATAATTTATAGTCAAATGTTCGGAAAGTAAAATTCCCCATATCCTTTACTCAGTCTTCACTGTTTATGTGAAGAAATAACTTGAGCGTTATGGTGGCGGTAATATAGGGGAATATACTGAGGTGATGAACCTTTCTCTTGTAATCATTTAGCAGAAGCATTTCTGTTGATATGACAGAGCCCAAATAGTAAATCACAAATGTCATCAAGATTAAGTGGAATTTTTTTAAGTAAGCACACGAATAAAGGTTTTCCTAAGTAGACAGCAGAAATATCCCTCAAGGATATTGGTGATATAAATTTATAGGAGAATGATGAAAGTCCTTATTTTACAATATTTAAAATCATTCCAACTAAAGTGGATAAACAGTATCATCAGAGTAAGGCCTTTTAAAAGTAAAACTACAAGGTCGCTCTGTGTCACAACTTGATGGCAACAGGTTTGGTTTTGGTTTTATAGTGAACAATTTTGAAATGTGTTGAACAAAATTCCAATAATAAAGCACTTGAGAAAACTAATTTACTCAATGTGTATATCATTTGAGCTAAAAGCAAAAACCTGGCATATGCAGAAATTCTTCAATTTAATATGCAACAAATTGGCAGAGGCAGGAATTCTTCAATTCTTCAGTAAATGATGTGACCACCAAGGCTGGAGATTATCTATTAAGATTCAAATTTTGATACAAAAACTGAGTCAGAAAACTCACTGCTATTGGAGACACAGTATAGCAATAGTGTTGAGGCAGCTTAGTATTTTGTTTGATTTCATTGTTTGCGTTGTGATTCTTAATTAGCTATTAGATTCTTATTAGGTTGTCATAGCTATGATAATCATATTTAGTGCTTTCTTCACTCATTTATTTTTCTTTTTCCATTCCTTGCAGTTGAACAGAAGATTTTTTTTTTTTTAAATAAGCTATACAAAAAGTGGAGTTTTGAAGGCAAAAGAGTTCAGAAGAGGATACAGAATAAGCAAGTTCAGCAACTTTTTATATCATTTCTATAAATTTCCAGAATTTAAGGCAGTCCCGTATTGTAATATCAATATAAAAACATACCAAAACAACAACAACATGCCATATTAATAAAAACTTTATGTGGCAGGCACTGGGTTCTGTGTTGGAATACCAATTACCTACACACCTGCCCAACACAATTTCAGTCTAGCAAAGGAGATCAAGAAGGAGTGACAGGAGAGTGTGGTGCCCTGGAAACTAAGTAGAGAAAAGTGTTTAAGAAGGAGGGAATGATTGGCTATGTCAAAAATGCAAAAAGGGAGAGGTGGTGTCAAGATGGAGGAGTAGTCAGACGCTTCCAGTGGACCCTGTTACAACAAAGACCCAAAAAAACAAGTGATTTGATTATATGTGGCAGTTTGG